TTTTCTTCGTTCTCTCTCTCTCTCTCTCTCTCTCTCTCTCTCTCTCTCTCTCTCTCTCTCTCTCTCATGATTTATAATTTTGTCCAAATAATAAAAATAAAAATATAAATTTAAAAGTGATCGATCTATAAATACTTAATTAAAATTCTTTTCAACGGATCAAGTTTGAATAAATGAAATTGTACGATATATCAATCGTTCATATTAATAATATCCATATTATTAAATATTCGAATCATCGAGGATGCGTCGGAAACAAATTTGTTAATAGAAATTATTACCTCTCTGTTCTGTGATAAAGGCTCGCAACTAGCCGCCAATTTCCTGCGTTCTCGTTCCAATTGTCGATTCCTGTCGTTAAGAACTTCGATACTTTGAGGCGACTGTCGCTCCTTACGCTGCTCATAATCGTGCCTCTTCTCTTGATGATAATGATGATGATGATGATGATGGTGGTGATGATGCTGATGTCGGTCCTCCAGGTTATCGTTATTATTATTCTCGCTGGTTCGCGATCTCGCATCATTCACTTGCAATTTCTTGTTCAAATCGTGCGATAACTTTCCAATCATCTCGGCCGAGTTTTGTTGTTGTTGTTGTTGTTGTTGTTGATGTTGTTGCGTCGACCGTTCTTCCAACCGGTGATGAAGAGCGTCCACGCTGTGCGATTTGGAAAGCTCCGGTTGTTGCTGGTGATGGTGATTATTATGATGATGATGGTGATGATGCTGCAACGGATGATGAGGCGTGACACGAAGAAGAACCGGATCGTCGTGATCCCGTGGCGGTGGCCAATCCTCTAAGCGAGATGTCGGTGACATGGTTCTCTTGTAACTACCTTCGGTATCAGGCGCACCTCGTTCTCGCCGATATGCCAGATAAGAGGCCTTCGATTGACTTCTGTAACCAGAAAATCGGACAATGTTAAAAGATCGTGGTGAAAGATTGATCACAAACGATAGATCCAACTTATTTATAAAGCGATGATAAAATCTGATTCGAATAATAATCGCGAAAATGTATAAATAAATAATTAATTAAGGATAAGTATGTACAAAAAAAAACAATCTTTTCAAAAGTATTTATGTTATATTTAAATAATTATGAATAATTAACAAATAATAAACATTTATTCAAATTCTTGTTTAGAAATATTTTCAATATAACAATCAGAATTGTTACATTTGTATCTATAAGAAGACTGATCGCACGTGACAAAAGTAACGATATTTGATACTAATGCGTATTAATCGACACTAACTTTTTGAAACAAAGCGATGAGATCATGGAAACGATAAAAAACTAAATCTCCTTTACGGCACACTCGTCAGAACGTTTTTAATTTTAATTATCGCAACATTCGCTAGTATTTATTATATATTTATAAAATCTATTATAAGCTACAAATTATAATTCATTTTTTATTAATTTAATTTAATTATTATTTTAACGTTACAATTTTAGTTTTTAATTTTACGTATTATTATTGACTTAAATACTATAATTAATATCATTGTTCATATTTAATTATCCACCATCATGCCTGAAAATTTTGTTGTGATATTGTTCATCCAACGAAAATACAGATGCAAAAATAGAGCAACGTGACGCAAAAATTAATATTTTACGATTAATAATCGTGATAACTATAATTTTGTAACTTGATCATAACAAATCTTTCTTTATTTATTATATTATTATATTTATATATTATTGTATTCTAATAAATGTAAATATATCTATATATATCCCTTTTATCGAATACGCATTATGTTGTAATTTCTTCCATATCGGCGAATAAATGGCATGGAATTAGCGTGTGTAATTTGCCGAACCGATCGTGCTTCCACGAATGGAACAAAGTGCTCTTTTGCCGAGAGTAAAAGTGATCCATTGTTCGGTCGTTCGCTTGCGAAATTCTTACCAACAAACGCATCCGCGTCGATTAATCGCGATTATGTGATTGATCGATCGAACGAATGTCGCCGATTCGCGAATGCCTTCTGATCGGATTCGTAAATACGATGAGGATAAACGAAATAGATATCGCATCAGCGTGAATTTCAATTCAAGCGTTCCTGTTTAAATCCCATTTTTTCTCACCGCCAGTTTTCCACGAACACGCGCGCGCGTGTGTGGAAATTGAGCCGAGATTCTGATCAACGATCGAGCATCGATCATCGTTCTTTTTATTCGTCCAACATGATTAGATGGTATTATGCAAACCGCGTTTCGTGCGAAAGTTATCGGAAGGAAAGTATAACATCTGTTACCAGATTCGAAACATATGAAACGTTTTGTTAGCGAAGAGAAAAGATCTTGTAATATATATTTCTCTAGACGAATATTAATTTATTTCTTCTATATAACAATATTTGATACGCGTTAAAAAGATAAAAAAGAAAAAACAAAATTGAATTTTGTATTTTGATCTAATATCAAAATGTAAGATGTAACGCGCCTATCGTCGTAGATCGTTTCTTTCTTGAGAATTGAAAGTGATGACTATTATTTCCAAGTGATCATTGTTGTTCGGGTGAGACCGATATCTCCGATGACTTATCATTAATTGATAACCGGCGGGAAATACGAGGGGAGAGGCGAGGAGGAAGAGAAGGAAGAGGAGAGCTTTGATTTTTTGCCAAAGTATCGATCGATGTTATTGCTCTTTCCGATATCTATGTCAAATTTGTTCGTTTCGTGATCGAATCTGGGCTGATATTGTCATGCTTCGACTGTCAATATGTAAGTAAGTACATCGTCGTTGCATGCCGGATTTACGGCCCGAATATAAGTACGTACTTTGAATCGTACGTACGATACGCGACAAAAATAACGCGAAAAAACGGTTAATAAGCTTCGAATCGCTTTCTCGAATTAATCGATTATGCACAACTTGCTCGATCAAACGTGACTTTGTTGTTTATGATTATAAGAAAAATTCTAATCTTTCATTATTCTTTTACGTTGATATTTTTATTATAGAACGATGGATTATACATATACTGATTCATTCCTGGGATTCTATTTCAAATTATTAAGGTTAAAATTTATTACAAGTATAATTCACATTATCGGTAATCCAATCTCCAACGTAATATTTAGCAATAAATGTTAAATATAAATCTTGGCAAATAAAGCTTGGCAACAATAATCTTAATTTATCTTGCTCTTGCATATCTATGTTTTGGAAAAAATTTTTTTTAACCTTAATATATATTATAGATTTAAAAATTATACGTAGATTTTGCAGTAAGAATATTTTAGAAACGAAATACGATCGCTATTTAAAATTTCTTTTATTTTTCACATTGAAATGATAAAGATATATCATTTAAAATAATTTAGATTAATTCATGTTTGTAATTATTGTATTTATTGAAAAAAAAAACAAGTTCTAAAGAATGATTTTACGATTTTCGCGTCGTTCATGAAGAATGAGCAAAATGAAAAAAATAAGAAAGAAATTTTTCTTTTTAAGAGCTTCCAAAAGAATTAGAAGAATTCACACGGATTTCTGTCTCGTTCTGGTTAGGAATGTACGTGGTTGCCGGCGGAAAAGAAAGTTTTTGCCGTAACGAGGTGATTCGAGGGAAGGACGAAAGTAAAATTCGCGTCTCTATTCTAATCACGTGGTCGATTCGACACCGAATTTTCGGTCGGGAGTAAAGCACCGGTCAACTCGTTATAATTTTGACAAAAGAAAAAATACAAAGCTTCGAACGAGTCCAACAATTTTCAATTTTTTAACTATCAATTTTTAAAAAATTTATCGCTTCTCTTTCAAAATATTATATTTTCCAAAATGTTTTTTTTCTCATATATCCAGAAAATAAAATCGCTTTAACAGGCAATAATTTGACATCCCTATTACGAAGTAGTATATCGAGAAAAACGCGATTAATTCGATATATAGAAAAAACGGATCAAGTTGAAAACGAGTATCCTTGTCGAACACTTATTCATTTAAACGCGCCATCATACTTTGAAACTTCGTTGAAATTAAAAAACGATTTGAAAACGGTGGATCGAAAGTTGATCGACAAAGAGAAAAGAAGGATCTCATGAGAGATCGGCGTTCTATTTGATTCTCGATCATTCGCGAAGCGTAGTTGAGCGTGAGAACGAGAGCTTGGAAAGAAAAAAATTACCTATCTCGAATCTTTCTCTCTCTTTCTTTCTCTCCTCGAGTATGCGAATTGCTTCCGCGAAATGTTGTTACGCGTCGCATCATCCTCTACGTATTTCGATTCAACAATTTGTGCGCATCTGCTTTTCTTCCTTTCTGTGATTTATCGAATAAGATCGATTAATAAAATAGTTATTTTCGTTGTAAAATCGCGTCTTACGCAATCTAACCCAATGTTAGCGCTTGAACGTTGCGTAATATCGGCACGTGATAGCGTGAAATATATCATTTTATAATGATATATGCACAATTATGTAAACGAACACCGGAGACAAGAAGACCGTGACTATAAGAGATCGCGATTTCCTGTTACGTTCACCAATCGCGAAAATTTATCCGTCACCTGCCCAATCTTTCTATCTGGATAATAATTAAATTTAAGAAATATTCATTACGGAAGAAAATAGATGAACGAATTCTTATTGCGTTCGTGTATCAGTTGTATACAATGATATACAATGCAAAAGTTATAATTTAAAAAAAAAAATGGGTCTAAATATTTTTTAATCGCATAAAAACATGGTAAAAAGATTTGATTTGATTTATTATATTTTATTATAATTTGATAAATATTATAATAATATTATAATATTAAAAAAAATTAGTAATTTTTATAATAAAACAACATTGGAACAAAGCCATTCCGTTCTTCTCAAAATTGCCTAAAAGTTTGTTCGTATAATCGAATGGCAAATTATAATAATATTCTTATCTCCTTACGATATTCTAATATAATTAAATAAACGAATTTAAAATAATATCGTGAAATAAATTATGCTTTCAAGAATATAAGTTTTAAGGGTAATAAGTTTTAAGTTGTAACGTATAAAAATATCCTTATGAATCGTAATTTATGAATACGTGTTATTAAGAATTTCACCACAATTATATAACCATTATCCTTTTTTTTACTTCTATTTAATTATCATTATGACATGAAAATATTGATTCTATTGATTTATTAAAACATTTATGTGTGCGATAAATATATATACGTATAAAATGTATGTAATATAACGCGAAAATGAATATTGTTAAAAGAAATTGTTTTAAATTATGGTTTTGTTGCAAAAATTTCTCAATATATATAAATTTTGATAGACGTGAATAATTATAGATGATAAAAGAAGCGACATAGCGCGATATAACGGTAAAATTAATCGTGGAAAAAAAAAAAGTAAATAAAAATATTTCGAATTAAGAGAGAAACTCAAACTTGGAAAATATTTTGCGCAAAAATACATTACATTTTACAAATTGAATCTTAAAATATTACATCTTGGAAATTATATCACGATTAAAAAATGGTTAACGCTTCGAATCATGCGATGAATTCCTTTTAATAATTATTTTTTATTTTTTTTTTTTCGAATTAATGGAAAATTTCGAAAAAACTGAAAAAACCCGTATCGCGAAAAAGATATTTTTTACAAATTTCTTATCTTTCGGTCGAGATATAAATGTACGGTGTATTTTTAAACTTGAGCTGGTATAATAAGCTTAGTTCGTAAAATAACGAAATAAAAAATAAGTAACGAGCCATTTTACTGCTCGACTCCGATCGCAACACGTAGCTATATGAATATCACGCTTTGAAAGTTACTCATGGTAATGAGCATACGTAACGATTTACACGCATGGGATCTCTTTCACGACACATGTTTCTTCTCTTTCCTTTTTTTCTCCTCCCCTCGAGTACGGGTAATTACAG